CACACTTGATTACTCAAGTGTACTTAGAGAAGAAGGTTCCCACTTATCCGAAGGATCTCATGCTCCCTCTTTTACTAAAGTTCAATTATAGAGAAATTTGATGTGCTGAGGGACCAAGAGGGGTGCCAGATCAAGCTGTGGATGGCAGGAGGCATATTGATCTACTCATGTTGAGCCTACACTGAGCAACCTCATAGCACTCATCCAGAATATGCATGAGGGCCTCTAGAGCTAGCTGGATCGGATTGACTTCAAGCTCCACCACATTGAGCTATTCTTGCATCAGAGATCTCAAATGGACTTGCTAGAGGAAGAAGAGGAGGCTAATACTGATGTTGGCCAAGACTCTGACACTCATGCTAACTAGTTTCACCCTTCTTTACTTTACTGCCTTTTATTTTTGTTTTTAATTCTAATTAGCTGTTGATTAGTTCTTTTTTAGTAAATATGGTTAGCCATAATCTTCTGATATCTTTTGTGCATGGCTAACTTTAATCTTTTTGTAGCTAATATATGATATCTTGACTAATCTCTTGCAACTAATTACTCTATGATAACTTGTGTACATGCATGTGTAATTAGTTGTATTTTTTGACTGCCTGTGGATATATCTCAATTATACTGTTACAGGCTTTTAATTTTTTTCTTTTGCCTCTCATGCACCTTCTTTTTGGTTATTAAGTTGCATGAGAGAGGGCCCTTATTTTACTCTTTTAACAGTGTGGACACTGTTCAATTTAAGTTTGAGGGTGAGGGTATTATTTGATTGATTTGACATGAACTTCTATTTTGAAACTTAAGCTATTTACTGTTCCTCTTTTTTGAAATTTGAGCTAGATTGAGAAATTATTTATTGAACAGAATGCGTGATCCAATGATAGAATGTTGCTTAAACTGTATGTTTTATAGGAAGTTGTGATAAATACTTTGGCATGCTTGATTTGTAGGGTTAAGGCTTGCTTTCTAGTAATTTGTGAAATTTTCTTTTGCACTTTTAAATCAGACAATGATTTGAATGCTTCTATTAGAAAATTTTGTGACAAGTTTATGTGCATTTTCTTTCTCAATTGAGAAACTCTAGAACCTATCTTGAAATCTCTTAAGGCATTTTAATCACTTTGTATGATATTAAAATATGATTTGAGTATTTTTTTTTCAAATGTGTTTGAGCCTTTCAAGCCTACCTATTGCATCATTTCTACTTGAACCCCCTTTTGAGCCTAGAATTGAAAATCTTATGTATTTTGTTTTCGAAACTTACACTAAACCTTAGCCTCTACAACTTGAAAAACTATGAACTACCTTACTCTTGAGATAAGTGATAAAAAAATTGTGTGCTAGTAGGAAAGATTGGTTTAGTTGTTGAAGGAGGCATTGCATATATCCACATGCCACGACATATGGCATAAAGCGGGTAGTTGTGGTCTCTATACCACATACCACAGCGCATGTGGCACGAGCCACGGGGCACAACCCTTATGTTGACTTCATTTGATTAAAATGCACATGTTTTCTTAATCTTTAATGCACTTTTACACTTTGCTTCCGCTGTGTAGGGATTTATAGTTTAAGTAATTTATGAAATGATTTTGAAAATGTTTTATTTAAGATCCTAAACTCTCTAAATATTTGATTTTTATATGAATTAGTAGAGTGAGTGGAGGATCGTATGGTAATGTTAGTAAGGGCGTTACACTTGTTTTGCAATGCACCATGACATAGCACTGCTATCTTGATAGCACTCCAGATCTAGCTTTTGGGGCATGACATTTTGCTATTGGATGTTTGATTTGAGTGGTTCAAGTGTCCTTATATAGCTCTTTAAGCTTTCTAGCTATTGACACTAGTCTCACATTTAAATATTTAACCATTTAAAAGTTAGACACTTGAACCTAAATTAGTCCATTTTTCTTTCAAAACAACAATAAAGGTGCCCATACCCATGAAACTAACACCAAGAACCTTGAAACCAATTGAACCAACTCAAATGAACCACAAACAATCTAATTGCATAGTTAAATCACAACAATAACATTCCATAAAAAATTTAGCCATCAAAACTCCCTTTGGCATATGAGGAGTGGAAGAAAAAATTACTTTGTGTTGATTTGAAGAACCATGACAATGTATATCTTCCTCTTCATCCAATTTTAATATACCTGAAGAGTTGTAAAATAATTAACAAATCATTACAAAGAGATGTGCAAGAGCCAGGATATATGAGGAGTGGAAGAAAAATTACTTTATGTTTATTTGAAGAATCGTGACAATGTATATCTTCCTCTTTATCCAATTTTAATATGCCTAAAGAGTTATAAAATAATTAACAAATCATTATATAATCTACAATAAATATTTCAAAAACTAATAAATTAAATTCTATGAAATTATAACTTCTCAAAAATAGAGTATTGTTAACATCTAGAAGTTCATGTTATTTCATCACATTTTCCTTATATTCTAATCCATCTTAGTTCAATTGTATATGTTTTTATTGCCCAAATTAGGAAAATGTGTATTTTGTTTTAGGCTTGTGTTCTTAGCTTTCATTTGATATTTTTAGCCTAATTTCATATTATTTTGATTAAAATTTTGATTAGAACCATTTCTGGAGCTTGGTAGATGTTTTTAGAAGGCTTTTGGATGAAGAAATCAAGAGCAAAATGACTGATTTTCATTGGCTGTAAAAACAATGCAAAACTGCCAAGGTCATCCCAAAGTCGTGACTTTCGTTCGCGACTTTCACCGCTGTCAGAAAAATGCTGCATTTCATTTATCAGAAATTAGTTGGCTAAGATACATATAAGCTGAGAGCTTGACCCAGAATGCATTCTTCAGACTTTTAGACACTTTTGGAGCTTGGTTGTGCTAAGGTTTGGGCATTGGAAGAGTTGGGATCAAGAGATTGAAGCTTTGAAGATATTTGGAGCTCATTTTCTTTGGGTTTTCTATTCCTCTTCCCTTTCCTCTCTTGTAATCTAAAATGGGTCCACTTATTTTGTATATTTGTAGCTTGTGGATGATAATGAGTAACTAAACCCTTTGTTCTAGGATTATTTAGAACCCTTGTATAGATTAATACTATATTTCTCCTCTCTTTTTATGATTAATGATATATATGTGTTTATTTTACTCTTTCCTTAATGCTTCTACTTGATTGGCCACCATTGAGATGTTGGGTTCACTTAATTGATGCTTGAGAGAGTTAGGTTGAGTGTAGAATTTGGGTAAAATTGTGTAAGAACTTGATATTTGCATGTTGAATGGATGGTTTTGCTAGTAAGATAGAAATATACTTGCTAGCCTTGTATAGCCACATTAGGGTTGGTATTCAAAATTGAGTTTTACTAATTGTAACAAGAGATTGGGCAATTAATTTAACTAAACACTTGTTCATGAGAGAGCTTGTCCAAGTATTTTTAAAATCCTAGGTTAGTACTTATTTTCATTAAAAGCATTTATGAGAGGAGGTAATTTTGGTGTTATAAAATGCAAGGGGGATAAATAATACTAGGTCCTAAATTGTGTTTGAAGCTTGTGAGTCACTCACTTTTCTTTATTTTCTAGTGTTAGTTTTATTTGCAAAATCATTTCACCTAACTATGTGTAGCTCAACTTGATCAAATTTGCTTAGTCTTTTGTTTGATTATAGTTTTTAAACAAATCCTCGAGAGAACGATACTGATTTTATATTACTTGTTACGATCTGTGCACTTGTAGTGTGCAACAAGTATAGTAAGTTTTTTTAGTTCTATTGTTTATGAAAGAGAAATTTAGGACTATGGATGAAAATTCAGTAAAAAAAATTATAAAATGTATGATTATGTGCAATTACTTGGTATCTATCATGAATATGAGATCTATCAGAAATTGAATTGCTCTTTCAATATCTACAAGCACATAACAACCTTATTGTGCCATTGGGTGGGAATTAAAAATCATCAAGGAAGATGACACAAGGGGTGAGTGGGCATTGGTGATAAAGGGAGGAGCCGAAGAGAATGAGAGTTTTGTGATTTTTCTTGTCTTGATGTGGGAATGGAGCAACTGAATAATATTATAATTGAAAGAAAATCTCATGTGCTTTGTAACTACTTAATGTGATCGTGTGTTTGTGTAATTAGAATTTTAAAACTAAAAATAAGAAAAAGATTACAAGAAGTTATGATGATAGAAGAGTGGGGGAGAAATGAGGAAAAATAGCAATTAAAATAACTCATTTTAATTTTAAATATAATAATTTTTTAATATTTAAGAAGATTTGATAGAAAATCTAATGTGCATGTTGAAATTGTAATACTGTTATTATCTATAAAAAATTTTGGTATGCTGAAAAAAAATTATTTTTAGAAATTAATGTTGACATGGATAACTTATAATCATAACATTTTAAAAAATGCATACATGTCAAGTCTAGAAGATGGCTTGCAATTCTACTTTTATATATAAATATATAAATTTATTTAATTTAAAATATTATTATATTATTCATCATAACAAACAATATAGTATTTATCATTCTTATTTCTAACTTACCATGATCTATTGGTTTTTAAAAATAAATGTTTAATAATAAGATTAAGATTATGGGGAGTTACAATGCAAAGAGAGTGGGAGAGATAAGAGAGGAATGAGGAAAAAATTTATTAAAATAAATTAATTTTTAAAATAGAAAATTGAAATTAAAAAAAATAAGTTAATATAATTAAATGAAGTTGAAGTGGCGTATGTATTTGTAGCATATATATAAAAGAACAAAGACACGTGTTGAACTTGAAAAGCAGCTTGTAATTCCACTTATATAGAGAGAGAGAGGGAGAGATAACGATGATGTACAATGAGAGAGAGAGAGAGAGTGAGTGATACATAGGAATGAAAAGTATAGAGTTGACGGCTTTCATCTCTTTACTCTCATTCATTTTGCTCTCTCTCTATATTTTTTTCATTATAGCATACTTGAAATACTTTATTACATAGGATCCAAACTCCAGAAGAAGCAACTAATAATCAAAAGAAGCAAACTGAAGAAGTTGTTGGTTATTCTCAAAATGAGTCATATGAAGCTCATTCAAAGTCACCCATGCCTCTATTCCATCTTCATATTTTGAGGGCATCAAAATGATCACATTTCTGATCGGAACTCCAACAGTACAAACCCAAATTGGCTTTCCAAATCCAAATTCAACTTCATAGAACCCAAACCTTATCCAACTACTAAAGCTATAGCAAGGAACTCCTTTTTCCATCACCAAAACCTTCACTTCTTGTAGCGATTTAAGGACCTCAAAAAGCCCTATAGCATCCCCTTGAAGCTTAGTAACATAATCTTTATCAATCTTTTTTATGGTTTCCCTCACCACCATTGCCAAATCCTTTAGCTTTATCTCCTTTGATTTGTCTACTTCCATTAGTGGAGAAAATGCTTGTTGCCAGAGATTACCTTAAAACCAACAGGGAATAAATCCACCAACGAGGAATAAACCCAATACTATGAAGAGACAATTATGAAGTATAAAAAGTTGAAAATCTTGAATATTACATGAATTTATGAGTATTGAAATAATAGATATTATAAATTGTATAGTTAAAAATGGAATAATGCAACCAAGTTTCCCTTAGTCATTGATTTGATCCCTCAAGTTTAATTTTTTTATCAATTTAATCTCTTTACTTTAATTATTGATTTAGTCCTTATTCTTTAAAAATAAGGTAACACTATTAAAAGTTTTTGACATGAATAACAAAATTTTAATGGCAACCATGTAGATTCATGAAAATAGTATAATTATTATTTAAGTAGAAAAAATAGACTCTAAAATAAAAAAAAAACAGAAAGAGAGAGAATGAAATACAGTGTAAGGGGTTACATTGATAAAAAATTAATTTATTCTCATTTACTTACATATATATACTAAATCATCATTAATATAATTTATACATTATATTATTTTGAGAGTTAATTTATATTTTAAAATTTAAATGACTGACATGATAATTTAAAAAAATACAAGAGACCAACTTGGTAATAATTAAATTTAAGGGACCAAATCGATAATTAAGACAAACTTAAAAGGATTAAAAATTTTGTTATCCCATTAAAAATTTATGTGCTAGATGGTCTTATTACCTATGGTGGTCTCAGGCAAGGGAGGCACCATCCGGCTGCGAATGTTAACTGCATGTGACATCAGAGAATGATGACAAGCTCCTCCAGTAGCTTCCATGGCAGATTTCCATATCAGAGCTGTCACAGCTTCAACTCTGGTGGGTTGACGGTAGGAGTCTTCAGAAATTAATTTATCTCTAAGTTCCTGCAAGCTTTTGTCACTGAATAAAAATCTCCTTGTTGAGATATTCTTCTCACCCATCACTCGGCTTGTTGTGTTTATCTCTACTTCTTTTGCTTGGAAAAGCAAAGAAGCTTCCATATTAGGAGAAAAATCGTCAGCAGCAGCATCATTTTCAAGTTGTTTCATTGCTTTTTTTGACCAAGCTTGAAGGAACGAAGCTATCGTTGCTCCATCACATATATAGTGTGAAATACACACACCAATTGCTAAACTTCCGCAGCTAAACTCAGTAACTTGAACTTCCATTATATATGGATGTTCTTGATCATTCTCTTGTTTGGGGTTGTAAGGATCTAATGGAAGAAACAATTTGATCCCATTAAGTTTTGAATTTCTCTTGAGGAAATCTGAGAGCTTAACTGGGATTTTAGCCTCAAGATAAAGAGCACCTTGGTCATTGCAATCCACATGGACATTGCTTTTACCTCCTTTGAATCTTCCACAAAATAGGTAGTAGAGAGTGAGAACTTGTGAAAGAGAAGACTTTAACTTTTGGGATATTTTGGTGAAACAAAGATCATCATCAGAGGGAGAAGAAAAGAAAAGGACAACGGGAACGTAAAAAGAGCGAGGAGCTAATTGATCAAGGAGGGAGAGTTTGAAGTGTTGAAGATGAGATGGCGTTGGAGATGAAGGCGTTATGGTGTTTTTGGACACAATCTCAACTTTTGCTGCTTCTTCCATTGCTGCAAGAAAGCGGGTTTGGTGATTAGTTAAGGAAGCTTGAATGTCCAGCTAAGTTGGTGTGCTCTCTTCGATTTGGAGGAGGACCTATAAATAGAAGGGAAAAGGCACATTTTTGTTCCTAAAATATTCATCAACACCCCAAACTATTAGTTTAAACAATCTTGTCCTTAAAATAATTAAAATGAAATATTTTTGGCTCTGATGTTAAATTTTCTAATGGCCAATGCTAAAATCTTAGTTAGCATGCATCTTCTAATTGTCAACATTGTGAATTTGATGGCTAGAAAAAAAATGATCTGTTTTAATTACTTTAATGATAAAATTGCTCTGACCAATAGTTTAAAGTGTTGAATGTTTCTCAAAGAATATTTCAGAAGTAAAAATACACATTTATCCTTAATTAAAAACAACTTCAAAGGTAAGGCCCTTAGACATGAAAAGCATATCCATCACCCTCTCCATACTCTTTGATTCATATATATTGGTTTAAAACCCAATTTTATTCTTGTGTTTATTTTTCAAGAGCATTGGGCACCCTATACTTTTAAGTGGGACAATTTTTTCTTTAAAGAATTTTTTTGAGGTCCAAAAATACCCTTCTATTAGGAGACTATTAAGTTTTTTTTTTTGTGTGATGTGGATCTATGTGAGGCCCACATAATAACAAATAAGACTTTAACTATGTCTTTTGATACTAATATGCCCTTGAACTCTTTTTTCAGGAGCGCTAAGTATCTTAAAGTTTTTTTCTAAGAGCATTAGATCTCATGAAGTCATATTAAAATAAAATTTAATAAATATTGCTAAAATATTAAATATTTTAATATTTAATATTTTAAATATTATTATTTATAAATATTCATTCAAAATTTTTAAATTACTTTTTAAATATTAACAACTCAAATTAAAATTTTATAAATTTATAAATAATTTCTTATTTTTTATATATCGATCTTCAATTTTCTTTTCAAGACAATACTCAAATCGTTATACCTTTTGTACGATTCAGAACTTATTTATATTTTTAAATATTGGTTAAGTTTTTTAAATTTTTAGGTCAAATTCTATAATTTTTTTGGTCAACTAACATTCTTTGTCCAAAATATCACCCTACTCAAATTTAATAATTTAACAATATTGATTAAATGTTATTTTAACAAGACTTTAAGGTGCATAGTGCTCATATAAAAATATTTTAGAGTGCTCAATACTCCTAAAAAAATAATTTAAGAGCAACTTAGCATGAAAGGGTATTGTCAAAATCTTACATGTTACTATGCGTGAGCCCCATGCAACATCAACAAAAAATAGAAAAATTTAATGGTTGACTAATATAAGAGATTTTTTGTTCCTCAAAAAAATAATTTATAGGTCAAATTGTCTTACTTAACATTATAGAATATCCAACGCTCTTAAAAAATAAATATAGGAATAAAAATGGACTTTAACCCATATGCATTCTCCCTAGTTTAGATGAATTTTTTAACACTTTATATATACTTTTGAATAATATTCCTGTTTAAATTTATTAAATTATAAGTGAGAATGTATAAATACTTCTTGAAATTTACAGTTTTGTTTATAAATAAAAAAACATATGGTAATTTCTTTTATATTAAAAAAACATGGTAGAATACATTAAACTTACCCAGTAATCGATATTTGAAGTTTTGAACCAAGCCAGGCTTTCGGAAAACGTACGTTTATTGTCGTTGGGAAAAGTATTTCTCATTTAAGGCAGAAGTCAACAATGTGAATGAAAAATAAAAACAAAGTTTTGGGAAATGTATTTCTAAATAGTACAATGGACTTTCTCTCGCTGTCATATTTACATGCAGGTACGGACGTGTCAGCCTCCACATGTGACGATCCGATCCTTATCTGTTACCTGGGCGATGGACAATTATGTGAAGGCGAAGACAAAACTAACTAGTTCCTCACTTTCCGTTCCTGACACCTTGATCAAATTTTGTTAAACCGTGACCGAAAATGTAATACACATTTAAAATTTTTTTAATTTAAATAGAGATAAAATTAGAATTTTATTTTATTTTAAAAAAATTTAATAATTTAACCATATTTTTTTAGTTTCAGTGAGATAGCTAAAGTGTCTTATAATAAAAATGGGAGTAAATATCTTAATACCCAATCTTAGGAGCCCATTTGATTATCTATTTGATTCAATGGTCATATATTTCTATCTCATTTAGTAGTCTTATATCATTAAACCACATGAATAATTAAATGAATAGATTAGATTAAGTATGGAGAAATATATTGAGAGATGGTATGGAAATTATTCATAGCCACATATTTTTTTTTAAGGGGAATATATTATTCTTATTTAAAAATGATACAAGTAATTATATTTTTCGACCAATAACCCTTACAGAAGAATATGAGTTTAATTAAAAATAAAAAATATAGGAACAAGCCAAATTGGACATACCAACATTAATCGAATGTATTTTTGTTTTTTAAAATAGTAATATATATGTTGGATGTAAAGAGTTTTGTTTTTCAAAAGAGTAATATATATGTTGGATATATGATTATGAAGAGTCGATGACATAAAATTTATTGCTAAGACAACTAAAATTGGGAAAACTTCAGCTAAGGATCACTATAGACAATTAATTTTAGATGAATTCAATTTTTTTTTGAAATTTTAGTTCAATTTAGGAGAGAAAATTTAAAATAATTTTGAAGGTAAAAAAATCAAAATACTTTTCACTTATTATACAAAATCACTAATTATTAATTTTCTTACTCGACTTGTTAATTTATAAATATGAGTTGTAAATTATATAAGCTAACATATCAATAATTATATAAAACTTAACATCAATTTTTCAATTGTAAGAAGCATCAATTGTCAAATTTTTAACTTTACTTATTAATTTACTAACATCGTTTGTAAATTATTAACAGGTATTATAATTTACTAATATTGATTATAAATTACTGGCAGGTCTTATAATTTATAACTGATTTTAGTAAGTTCACAAGTAACATTAGCAAATTAATAACTAATGCTATTGATTGTCTAACAAATAAATGTAATTTACAAGTAATATTAATAAATTAATAAGTGTAATAAAAAAATTAACAACTAATAATTTTATATAATAAGTAAAAAATATTTTAATTTTTTACTATCAAATTTTTTTTGACTTTTCTCTTTTAGATTGAATTAAAATTTTAAACCCATCTAAAATTAATTTTTTTATCTTATTTTTATTTGAATATATCAACGAGAGGTGCATGCATGGTCAGTGCTTTATGTCCTTTGAATCTTCCGCAAAATGGGTGGTAGAGATAGGATGAGAACTCGTGAGTCGTGACAGAGAATAGAGATATGGGAAGGGTCCGTCTTATCTATAATAAAAATTCTACAATTAAATTTAATTATTTTTAAAGGTATGTATGAAAGGTATTGTTTGAAAAAAGATAATCCTTTAAATGATACTTAAATTTTTTAAAAAATTAATCTCATAATTGCCACCTATTGGGATATCTTGAAAAACTAAAAAAATAATCATTTTTAGTTTAAATAATAATATAAAATATATAAATATATTTTTCAACCATCTGATTGAAAACATAATTTCATTAAAAATAAAAAATATGAACAGGCCTAATTGTATAACGATCTTGATGAAATATTCATTCCTGAAGGTTTCTAAGAAACTCAAAAGATTGATCAAACTCAGCTAATATATGATCAGAACTCATTCTATGTCAATGTCAACACTAATTAAATATATTATCATTTTTAACAAAGTAATAATATAAGGTAGGAGGCGGGTATACAGTACAAAAGTGGGAAGAACGACAAACAGTTTCTTCCAAAATAATAATTTGATTCCACAAAACGTGATAATGCTTTCTAAATTTGAAAGGATCTAGTTATCATTAAAAATTTTAATGAAATAATAAAAATATCTCTTAATTTAAATTTAAAATGGTGAGAGAAAGTTGTATATGCATAAATTACTTTGATCAGTTACTGAACCAAAATTATCAATTTTAGAACAAAATTTGTAAATTAAAAAAAAACTTTATTGCACTTTGCTTATTAAAGAAAAATAGTGAAAGAAAGTTATAAATATTTAGACTATTTTAATCATTTGTGAAATTAAAGTTGTAAATTTTAAAATTAAAGTTGTGAATAAAGAACACTTTGTTGCACTTTTTTAAATTAGAGGGTATTTAAAAATAAATAAATTAGAGGGCATTTTTGTTTCTTATCAAAAACTTTAATGATAATTAAGTCTTTTAAGACTTAAAAAGCATTATCACATTTCACAAAATTGAATTGTTTTTTTTATATTTTAGAGAGATTTATCTGCCATTCTCTCATAAAAATATTTACAATAATGATATAATTTAACTTTTTACATATGATTATAATTATAATAATACATATACAGTATATATATATATATATATAAAATAAAAATGTATATATATCATATCGGGGAAGGGAGTGAGAAAAGAGGGAAGGGATGAGGACCCATGTTTGCTAGATCTTTATAAATTCAGTCTCATAAGTTCTTTTTTTTTTTTAATTGATCATTTTTTAAAATCCAGTCCTTATTCAACAGGTTTAGGGCCAGCTTAGTGAGACCATTTTTTTAAAAAAAAATAATTTTTTTAAATAAAATTCAACATTATGGCATCACAAATTAAAATTTCTTAAAATTCAAAATAAATAAAACAAATATCTTTTAGTCCACTCACTTTGTTCTCAAAAGAAAATAACCTTCCATTCTATCTTCTCCCATTTTTTATTCATTTTCTAATTCTTCTGCTTTAACCACTGACCACTAACCAGACTATGATCATCATTTGGTGCCATACTGTTGAATCTTGCACTTGAAGTAGAACCAGAGTAAGATTCTTTACTTGCACGATAGCATTTTGTATTATAATTACATAATTAGTTTTTATAATATCTAAATCGAATCTCAAAATAAATAATCAAAGAGAGACAAGTTATATTATGCTCAAATTGTATAGGGCTTGTAGAG